CTAAACTTTTACGTAGTTAGAAATAAAGTAACGATAAAAGTAACTAGTAAAATCGTTATCGTTACCTCAAAAATGTAATTGCGTTACCATGAGCGTTACTCACAAGAGAAGTTTCACAACTATCTGGAAACGATTTAATTCTCCATGAAATATATTGTAAAACACGAAAATCTAAGAGACATATTCTTTTATATGTATGCTAATTCATAAGAGGTGAAACACCCCTTTGAAAGAAAACGATATTTGAAGCGAATCTCGTTAGAAGTTTAAAAGATAGAAAAAAATTTTTTAAAGCGAACTTGTACTCTTCTACAAATGTCTCTTATCATTTATTTATTACGTTTAATGTATTATATTTCTATTACATGTAGCGAACAATGCGCGTCGCTCTTCGCGAGTACATAACAATTTGTACAATTATAAATGAGATCCATCATTCATAGTCTCAACTTGTCTGTACATAAAAATAATTCAACCATTCAAAGATTCGACAATAATATCCAATAAATTCAATTGTGATTTTATAAAAGTCTATTTCTCATTCCCGATAAGATAGTCGTATGTATTATTACAAAACAGTATATTTTACTAATTACTTATGTAACAACCAATTTCACTTCAATAATATTGCATGAGAATTGCAAGGATATGTGAAAGAAAACGGAAAATGAGAAAGAAAAAAAAATGAAAAAAGTTCCAAATAATTGGAAAACCGTTAATAAAAATGTATAGATGTTTTCACTTAGTTTTTGTTTTTAATTAGAAATTATTCTTCAAAAATGACTTTCTTTAGCGTTATTGTTACTGTCATAAAAAAAAATTGTAAAGTAAATATAAAATTGTTGTTATAAAAAATGATAATGGGAAATTTACAATAAGATTCGTAGCCGATCTTGGAGTCTTAAATCATAAGAAATTAATCAATCAAAGTCAAATATGAGTAAAATAATCGATTATGATTGGTTAATTTTCTATGACTTCAAATCCCACAACTGTCTACGATTCTTATAGTAAAACCAGCCGCATTACTGTGTTACTTCTCATCCTAATGTCTGTCATTATGTCTTTAATCATGCTGTATTAATTTAAAAAAATAATGAGCAATTAAAACTGAAAAATTTACTGTTTTCCATTACAAAATATATACATCGCAAAATGTGTGCTTATACAAGATGTTACAGAATAATCGCCAAATATTTCATGTGCTGATAGAGAAGACCAAATTGAATCAAAAAGTCCTCTACCCTTTTGCAATTTTTGCATTAGTTAATAACATATTAATTACTAAAAATCGCTGAACATTGGTTTATAATAATTTTTTACTTAAGTAGAATTAATATTAATTAATTTATTCTATCGCAAACCTTATTCAATTTAATTGTTAAATAAATTAAATAACAATATTAATTTAAATTTAATATATATTTTACATTTTTTGTTTTCTAGTTTTACAAATCAGTACTGATTGTATTAGAAAGTTACAACAAGAAATTTTAGATCTACAATCCTGCGTGTTCATTAATTGCATGTAACTGGATTTTAGATTCCAATTTAAGAGGCTACTTCTCAGAGATATTCCTCATTATGTTTTTTCTCTTATCTTTAATTTATTATTCCGCTTCTTATTTTAAATCTTCCCCTGTAGAGTTACATTGCTGTCTGATCGATGAATGCGAGTTTACCATATGAAATTGCACAAGTATTACCAAATATGTCACCACTGTACCAGTTAACTGAAAGAAATAATCAAAACTATTAATTAAAAAAATTTAATTTATAATAGATTACTTACATGACATTCTAAATATTCTTACCGAATGGAAAAAAGTATTATCGAGCGTAAAATATCCATTAGCTGTAAACTGTATTTTGCGATGTAGCAAATGAAGCGAAAATTTCTTGAGCTGTAACATATCTATGATAAATGTCGTTACGAATACTATTTCTGAGAAAGTCTTATCTAAATTTGGTTTTTACCTCTGCATTTGTCTCTTTCTCGATTGCACAGTTTAAAAGATTATGAACTAAATTGCCCGTTTTCTTCATCTGCAGTAAATTTGTAATTAAATTATTTTGTAAAATATTTGGAATTTTATTTACTGATAAAAATATTTTATATCATTGATTAAAACGATCTGATTAAAATGCGATCTTATTATATTGATTATCTTACCTCGATTAAAATTCTCGTAATTCTATTGGTGAGAAGAAAGATGGGATAAATCAGAAATATTATCCAGATGATGACATCAATAATACTATAAGAATATTTTAAGATATCATCAGTCATCAACAGAAACGAGAGAAGATAGTAACCATTATATACGAGTGTTAGAAAGAGAAAAACGATTCCGAATAGCACTGGTAGTGAATAGAAACTCGACACATCCTCAGAGATTTCACAGAGATGATAATGCACATCTCGCAGTTGCAACAGTTGATGAACGGCCGAATTGTTGATTACGATACGACGCGTTTGATAGAGAGACTGCAGTTCAAAATCAGGTGTATATATCCTGGTAAGGTTTTGTATCGCTCGATTTACATCAACAAAATCTGCTTCAATGACCGTCACCAACAGAAAGTAATGTATCAGTAGCCAACCCACGTGAAATGTCGGCAGAACGTCTGTCAGCCATGAGATTGGGTTTGTATGACCAGTCAGGATCTCAGTGAACAGGAGAAATATCAGAAGGCAAATCTTCAAGATGCAAACGATGATCATAGTGCAGAAGATACCTTGTCGTCGTAGCGGATGATATAGATCATACATACGATCTATCTCGTGTTCAATGGTGATTAATCGATTAGTGATCCGCACCAAGGACTTCTGGTTGATGCAGTAGCTAATCAAAATCACGCAGATCACCAGGGCACCAAGCACAGTTTGTAGAACCGCGATGACTACAGTTAAATTCGTCTTGATCTTGTAGTTCCAATTAAGTCTGAATGGTATAGATATATAGTTCGAGGCTATCATTAAGCTACTCAGTACAACATTGTAAACAATTCCTAATTTGGAATATTGAAATGTGTATGACGTTCTCTTTTTGTATACAACGATTCGATGAGCGAATGTAGCGAAACCGATAAACTTGAAGAACACTATCAATATTCTGAACGCCCAAGATAAATCTTGATGTAACTCTGATTTTATTTTGTTCACTTTCTGTTCATTATTTTTTTCTGCAAAAGAATTTTTTTTATTTATATTTCCGAACAAATTGGAAGTTCTATTGATGTTCATGAAAGTTGAATTCTTAATCAAAGACATTTTTGTAATGACTATCTTCTTCCATAATTTTTGAATTCAATGACTATCTTCTTCCAAAATTTTTAAATTAATATCTACTTCTTCTCTTCATTAGGTCTTGTCAATTTGTCCATATTGCCTTATGTATCATGATTTATAAATATTTTTTTTAGGAAACTTTCAGTTCAATTCTTCTTAATATTTTTTTTTCAAGACATTTGTATATAAAGATTTTTATTATTAAATTTGTATACTTTAAATCTCTTCTTACTAAAACGTTTCATGCATAGATCATTCATAAATTGATAATTTAAGTGGCGTCCGTTTTATTTTATTGATATTTGTCTTTCCAATTGTCCTAAATCCAAATTAAATTCGACCGTTTGAACATCATATACAATTAATTGTGAGTCCGGTAAATATTCACCGTATATTCTAATTGACGTAGCGTTTTATAATTCTTACGAAGTAGCACTGAGCATGTAGCGACGTTTCCGCAAAAACCTTTCACATAAGCATCAGGTACGCAAAACATTATTAAATATTAAATTTGTGAAAGTTATAAACGTGTGATAAGGAATATAAAGTCAATAATTTAGCTCTGTTTCAGTCGACATAGATCTTGCGATGGAAATAGTCGATTTTTACGGTATTATTATCGGAATGATAACAACTGGAATATTTATCAATGTATATATGACATGATATTCACACACACAATAATACGTTCTTTGTAATTTCTGTAATTGTAATGCTAACCATAGTAGACTATTTTTGGTTACCTTCCCGATTACAGCAGAATCTGTAAAACCTTGCAACTTTTTCACGCTGTATTTCTGGACTGAATACGTATTTTTAGCTCAAAACATATGAAATTTATATTTTAAAGTCAGACAAAGACAGATCGATATGAATCAAATGAATAATATTTTATTATCAATTAATTAAAATGTTTCAAAAAATTTTTATTGGAGAAATTCGCAAAAAATTATCAGTTTGGATAAAAAATTTTTCAAATTTTTAAATATAATGTTCAAGAAAAAAACTGTAGGATTTTTTTAGTTGACCCTTTGGACTAACAAAAAAAAATAGTATGATATAAATCGTTCAAAAAAATATAATTATTTGAACTATCGACCTACAAGCACTTTTGCGCACAAATATAAAATTAAAGTTAAGGTAAATAAGAAAATATTTTGTATTGGTTAATATTGACAACAACGGAAACAACTCTATTTATAAGAATGAATGTTCATAATAGTACTCTCGAGTACCAAAAGAATATGCAACAGTACCATTATAGAAGTTGTGCGCCCCTTTGCAGAATGAGAGATGGTGTGAGAGTCGCTTCGCGTAGAAACAGGGGAAAAAATATAAAATATATTTAATAGCGAATATAAAATGCATGTAAGCAATAGAGTTATAGACAATAATACTTGTAGGCAATCGAGCTGTAGGCAATAATATATGTAAGTAATCGAGCTGTAGGCAATAATACTGGTAGGCAATAATACATATAGGCAAAAGTAACTCCGTTTCTAAAATTTTTATTTGTTCGCAAAAATTCTTATAGGCAATCCAGCTGTAGGCAATAATACTTGTAGGCAATAATACATGTAGACAATAATACTTGTAGGCAATCGAGCTGTAGGCAATAATACATGTAAGTAATCGAGCTGTAGGCAATAATACGTGCAGGCAATCGAACTGTAGGTAAAAGTGATATAGGTAAACGATACTAGTAGGCAATAGATTTGTAGGCAAATGGGAC